GGGAACATCATGCTTTGGGGCTGTTTTTCTGCTAAGGGGACAGGACGACTGATCCGTGTTAAGGACAGAATGAATGGGGCCGTGTATCGTGAGATTCTGAGCCAAAACCTCCTTCCATCAGTGAGAGCTTTGAAGATGAAACGTGGCTGGGTCTTCCAACACGACAATGATCCCAAACACACCGCCCGGGCAACAAAGGAGTGGCTCCGTAAGAAGCATTTGAAAGTCCTGGAGTGGCCTAGCCAGTCTCCAGACCTCAACCCCATAGAAAATCTGTGGAGGGAGTTGAAAGTCCGTGTTGCTCGACGACAGCCCCAAAACACCACTGCTCTCGAGAATATCTGCATGGAGGAATGGGCCTTACTGAACAGGAAGTGACGCTTCAACCAACCCACTGTCATCTGGACACAGCAGGCAGCACTGTTCTTTGTTCATGTTCTTTGATTTCTCCAGTGCATTTAACACAATTCAGCCTGATGTACTTTGCCAGAAACTCCAGAAGACACAGGTGGGGGCCTCAACTATCGCCTGGACTAAAGACTACCTGACAAACAGACCACAGTTTGTAAGGCTGACGAACTGCACATGAAACCAGGTGATCAGTAACATGGGAGCACCACAGGGGACTGTACTCTCACCATTCCTTTTCACCCTGTACTCCTCAGACTTCCAGTACAAATCAGAGACCTGTCATCTACAGAAATACTCAGATGACTCTGCAGTTGTCGGGTGTATCAGAGATGGACAGGAAGCTGAGTACAGAGAGCTGGTGGAGCGCTTTGTGGCATGGTGTGGAAACAATCATCTGACCTTGATCGTGAACAAAACAAAGGAGATGATTTTAGACTTCAGAAGAAACAGGGTGGAGTCAAACAGTTTCCATCATGGGAGAAGAAGTGGAGGTGGTTGAGGAATACAAATACCTTGGAGTTCACCTGGATAACAGACTGGACTGGAGAAAGAACAGCGAAGCCGTTTACAAGAAGGGACACAGCAGACTGCACTTCTTGAGGACGCTTAGGTCCTTCAATGTCTGTAGCAAGATGCTGCAGATCTTCTACAAGTCTGTTGTTGAGAGTGTAATCTCTTCAGCCATCATCCGTTGGGGTAGTAGCATCAGAAGCAGGAACCTGAAAAGGCTCAACAGCCTAATAAAAACGACTGGTTCTGTTCTGGGGACGACTGTGGAACCACTGGAGGAGGTAATGCAAAGAAGTATTCTCCGGAGAATCAAGAAAATTATGGACAACCCTGAGCATTCTCTTCACAAGACTGTCCGACAACGGAAGAGTGTCTTCAGTCAGAGGCTTCTTCAGTATCGCTGCAACACTGACCACTACTGGAGATCCTTCCTGCCAACAGCCATTGTAATATACAACAACTCTTTGATGACTTGATTATTATTATTATTCTGAGCTACTACAGCAATCAGTTTCCCTCTGGGATTAATAAAGGATATACACACACACACATATATATATATATATATATATACACATATATACACACACACACATATATATATATATATATATATATATATATACACATACATATATATACATACATATATATATATATATATATATATATATATACACATACATACATATATATACATACATATATATATATATATATATATATATATATATATATATATATATATACATATATATAGACCTGCACCAGGCTGGGAAGAGTGAATCTACAATAGGCAAGCAGCTTGGTGTGAAAAAAATCAACTGTGGGAGCAATTATCAGAAAATGGAAGACATACAAGACCACTGATAATCTCCCTCGATCTGGGGCTCCACGCAAGATCTCATCCCGTGGGGTCAAATTGATCATGAGAACGGTGAGCAAGAATCCCAGAACCACACGGGGGGACCTGGTGAATGACCTGCAGAGAGCTGGGACCACAGTAATAAAGGTCACCATCAGTAACACACTACAATGGCAGGGCCAGACGTGTTCCGCTGCTGAAGCCAGTGCGTGTCCAGGCCCGTCTGAAGTTTGCCAGAGAGCACATGATGATACAGCAGAGGATTGGGAGAATGTCATGTGGTCAGATGAAACCAAAGTAGAACTTTTTGGTATAAACTCAACTCGTTGTTTTGGAGGAAGAAGAATACAGAGTTGCATCCCAAGAACACCATACCTACTGTGAAGCATGGGGGTGGGAACATCATGCTTTGGGGCTGTTTTTCTGCTAAGGGGACAGGACGACTGATCCGTGTTAAGGACAGAATGAATGGAGCCATGTATCGTGAGATTCTGAGCCAAAACCTCCTTCCATCAGTGAGAGCTTTGAAGATGAAACGTGGCTGGGTCTTCCAACACGACAATGATCCCAAACACACCGCCCGGGCAACAAAGGAGTGGCTCCGTAAGAAGCATTTGAAAGTCCTGGACTGGCCTAGCCAGTCTCCAGACCTCAACCCCATAGAAAATCTGTGGAGGGAGTTGAAAGTCCGTGTTGCTCGACGACAGCCCCAAAACACCACTGCTCTCGAGAATATCTGCATGGAGGAATGGGCCTTACTGAACAGGAAGTGACGCTTCAACCAACCCACTGTCATCTGGACACAGCAGGCAGCACTGTTCTTTGTTCATGTTCTTTGATTTCTCCAGTGCATTTAACACAATTCAGCCTGATGTACTTTGCCAGAAACTCCAGAAGACACAGGTGGGGGCCTCAACTATCGCCTGGACTAAAGACTACCTGACAAACAGACCACAGTTTGTAAGGCTGACGAACTGCACATGAAACCAGGTGATCAGTAACATGGGAGCACCACAGGGGACTGTACTCTCACCATTCCTTTTCACCCTGTACACCTCAGACTTCCAGTACAAATCAGAGACCTGTCATCTACAGAAATACTCAGATGACTCTGCAGTTGTCGGGTGTATCAGAGATGGACAGGAAGCTGAGTACAGAGAGCTGGTGGAGCGCTTTGTGGCATGGTGTGGAAACAATCATCTGACCTTGATCGTGAACAAAACAAAGATGATTTTAGACTTCAGAAGAAACAGGGTGGAGTCAAACAGTTTCCATCATGGGAGAAGAAGTGGAGGTGGTTGAGGAATACAAATACCTTGGAGTTCACCTGGATAACAGACTGGACTGGAGAAAGAACAGCGAAGCCGTTTACAAGAAGGGACACAGCAGACTGCACTTCTTGAGGACGCTTAGGTCCTTCAATGTCTGTAGCAAGATGCTGCAGATCTTCTACAAGTCTGTTGTTGAGAGTGTAATCTCTTCAGCCATCATCCGTTGGGGTAGTAGCATCAGAAGCAGGAACCTGAAAAGGCTCAACAGCCTAATAAAAACGACTGGTTCTGTTCTGGGGACGACTGTGGAACCACTGGAGGAGGTAATGCAAAGAAGCATTCTCCAGAGAATCAAGAAAATGATGGACAACCCTGAGCATTCTCTTCACAAGACTGTCCGACAACAGAAGAGTGTCTTCAGTCAGAGGCTTCTTCAGTATCGCTGCAACACTGACCGCTACTGGAGATCCTTCCTGTCAACAGCCATTGTAATATAAAACAGACTCTGGGGCAGATAACCTGGTTGGTGTCGGCGTAAACAGGTGTGAAAGCCACTCTTTGAAGACTTGATTATTATTATTATTCTGAGCTACTACAGCAATCAATTTCCCTCTGGGATTAATAAAAGATTTTTGAATTGAATTGTAAAGCAAACTGACTTGTCTCAGCTGTTCGTGAATAATTGTATTAACTCAAAAGCGCTGGAGCGCCATTATTCCAGTCGGGTCTGTTATTCTGACACAACTTTTTTTTATTTTAACATCTGGCATTTTGGAATAAAGGTCAGTTATAAATAAAAATATGCAGTTTAATCAGGAACACGCACAAAAGCTCTCAGTAGAGGCAAAACCAAAAATTTCCAGGTGAAGTAGCCCCGCCTCCTCTGGAGCTCGCTAGCTCAGGTAGACATCCCAGTAGAAATGTCATGCGGAGTCTAAACGGGTCACAGGGAGTTGGTCTTCACAAGCCTGCTGGTGCTTTTACTCAGGATGTTGACCTGCCAGCTGATGATGTCAGACTGGGGCCGGGATGACTTTAATCCCAGCCCCAGAAGAGGATTCCTCTTGATCACGTTTGTTCCATAAAACAGACTCTGGGGCAGATAACCTGGTTGGTGTCGGCGTAAACAGGTGCGAAAGCCACGTCGGCAGCTGTTGACGGGAGTGACACATTCCTGGTATCTGGATTAGTTCAGGCATCTTGCTCAACGGCATCACGGTGGAGAAACCTCTACCTTTGAACTCATTTTATGAAACATTCATCTTTGTGACAGGCCTCACACACCCCGGCTGCAGGTTACCTGCTCGTTCGCAGTAAACTCAGACCCGTTTGGGTCAGTCACAGAAACAGTAGCCATTACGGTGGATCAGTGACGACGCTGCATGGATTCAGATCCTCCTTCAGAGGAGGTGTTTGTTTTATTTACTGTAGTCGGCTCAGGCGGCCTCCTGTAACCACATCAGGTGTGCTGGATTGGGTGTTGACCTAGAGCTGGAAAAGGACATTTTAAAACAGACACACCTACCAAGTCAGCCGACGGACTCAGACTCCAAATCTCCCTGCTGCCTCTAAGGAAGCATTCACTCTAGTTCCACATGTGGAAAGCTGCTTCTCTGGAGTTAAAGCCACCCAGAGAATCCAGGAGGAACTGGAGTTCACCTGAGACTACAGCTCTGAGTGTCCCACACAGGTTTTGGGGACAGATGTGGATTTGGGAGCTGTCCTCCAGCCTGGAGGATGCTGGGACGTTTAAGCTGAAGCACCGAGAACGCTCATTCAGCTTTAAGCCAACGCTGGTGCTCGGCACGTCAGCGGTGTCATCACAGCATACCTCAGCTCACACGCACACACACAACTATGCATTCTCACCATACCTGTTCACGGACTCATTTTAACTGGGTTGAAGGAAAGGAGCAGCTGGACGAAGAACGCTCCAAACAGAATCGGATTCAAAACGTTTTATTGTTAATTATACAGGAAGAAATAACAAGTTATAAACATACACGGTATGTCCGAAAGCTTCGCCACGCACAGAGCCTGCAGCCTCCAGAGGTCACAGAGGTCAGCTGATCAACAGGTTGTCTTTGACTGGAGACATGGGCTCTCCTTTCTTACAGGAAGTCATCTTCTGTGTGTCCCTGGTGGAGACACACACTCGTCAGTGAACCGTCCGCACTAAAGTAATAAATGCTTGCACACTTTATCAGAACTACAGGAATCACTGATTTATGAAGGAGTGATGAGACAACAGAGCAACACGTCTACCAACAGCTACACTAGGATATCCAGTAAACGACAGCGAGGAATGTAAACAGACACTTCCTGCGTATAAGAATGGGCGTCTGATGAAGAACAGCCCACAGATAAATCCGTCTTTCCGTCAGTCTGTTCTGCTCCTCCGGGACCTGAAGTGTCTCCCATTATTTATTATTTCCACCATTTCTATCAGAAATGAACTTTTACTCAGAAATAACAACAATAGTTACTCTTAAATACCTGAAACCAAACATTTCTACCCTAGAGCGTATTAGATAAAGGCTTCCCAGCCGTCGTTACTCCAGGGTTCCTTTCCTGTCTGTCGTTAAAACGAGGAACGTTTGGTTTAACCATCAGAACGAGAGCTGCAGTGAAGCTGGTTTGGGTCAGAGGAACGATCGGATCAGATCAACAGTCTGTTAATCAGAACCAGAAGAGAGGAAATCTGGCCTGTACAAACCAAACAGGAAGCTCCAACATTCCCAACATATTCCCAGGATCGTTGGTGTTCTCTTACTTTTTGAAGCTGTAGTTCTTCCACAAGCTGCTGATGGTGGCCTGGAACCCGGGGTTGTTCTCATTATTGGTGGAGGAGTATTTCTTCCCAGAACCGGAACTCCTCTTCCTTAAACCACTGGCTCTAGCCGGACCCAAAGACTGGATCTTGGCTGTTTGAATCCGACTGCTGGACTTTAGCCTGGACAGTCCGGAGACCTGAAAGGGACACCGGGAGACGGAGGAGAGGATAAAACACCAAAAGACCAAAGACGTGGTAAAATGTGGACACGTGGCTCTGAGCTCCGTTCATCGGCACCCTCATAATGGGTCATAATGTTTTTGCCTGTGTCTGGGTTTGGCATTAGCTCAGAGGTCACAAGCCTAACCAACTAGAACTGACTAGAACTCCCCAGCTTTGTTAAAGATTCGTCAAGACTGGTCCCCAACACCTTCATTATAAAAAACCCAGTTAGAGATAAAGCTCTGAGGATCTGTGGCTGAAACCCACCTTTGATCCCAGCATTCCGGGTTTCCCGTCTGCCTCTGCCGGACAGACGGGACTCTCTGGTTCTGGTTCTAAATCTGAGGTGGAATTCATCTCCTGAGAGATCAGATAAAACACAGAAATGAAGACAAATCATTTGTTTCTGCTTTGCTCACCAGACAAGAGGAGAACAAGGACGCCTAAAAACGACAGATGATCCGGATCCGAGTTCGGAAACCGGGTTAGGGTTTAAACAGCCTGTCTGGGAAAGCAGCCAAAGTGTGTGTATGTGTGTGTGTGTATATAACATACAGGGGCAGCGTCTTCAGGGCCAGTGAGGGGGAAGCTGCTGTTGAGGGCTTCTTTTTGGCAGGAAGTGAAGGAGGACTGGGACAGGGACTGGGAGATAAATGTACCCTCCTCAGAGGGAGGAGAATCTGAGAGGTTGTCCTTGTCCTCTGATTTGATCTCAGGGGAAGACGACTGTGAAGAGGACAACTGTCCAGAAGGTCTGAGGACATTTTGGGAAGATGGAAAACCCTCCTTCTTGTACTGAAACTGCTGCAGGGTGCTCAGGCCGGAGCTGCAGGACCACTGGAACAGTTTGAGGCCCTGACTGGCTGAACTGGGAGGGGTGCTAGTAGGAGACACAGGTGGACTGGGAGCGTCCACAGAGGGGATTTCAGGACCACTACTGTCATGAATTTGTCTTCTCGGGGAGGACCGGTCCTCAGATGCTGGCTCCACCCCCTGGTTCGAGCTCCTGAAGAACCTGCAGGTGAGGAGAAACAAAACAGCCATCAGATAACTGTAATGACTGAATGAAAGTCTGGCGGTAACCATGGTGATGCTTCAGATGTTTAAGTTCTGATTCAACAACAGAAAACCTGCAGAACCATGAAGCGTCAGGTCGATATCAGAGGTTATCCCTCAGGTACGGCTGACCTTTGACCTCCAACACTTAAAATGTTTGGGCTGATTTCTGCTGATGAGAACGACACATGCAGACGACGAAAACCCCGGTGACTGGAGCACAAACCCTCACAGCAGCGTTGTGAGCTCGCTTCAGAAAACGAGACCAAATCGTGCCAACATGGTGGATGACAGTGACCCGGAGTTCCTCTAAGTCCAGCTGAAGTTAAAGTCCTACAGCCAATAACAACAAAGCACTGAAAAGCTAATCACCGCAAAGGTATCTTATTGGTGTTTCTTAGCCCCGCCCACTCTCAGCTTCTCCAAAGTTTTCCCTCAACAACTGGTAAATGATAAATGGTTTGTGTTTGTATAGCAACTTCTTAGGTTCTACAGCCCCCCAAGGCACTTTACAACATAATCACTCGTCCACACCCTGGTGGTGATGAGCTACGATGTAGCCACAGCTGCACTGGGGCGCACCGACGGTCCCTCTGACCACCACCAGCAGGCAAGGAGGGTTAAGGGTCTTGCCCAAGGACACAACAGCAGCATTCTCTGATCAGGGTTGGAATTGAACCTGCAACCTTCCGACTACTGGACAACCTGCCCTACCTCCTGAGCTTCTGCTGTCCCGTGGAATATTCCTGTTTCCTGAAACTGAAGGAGAACCGAGTCTGATCGGCCAATCAACCGTGGTGAGGACACGATGACATCACCTGCTGCGGGTGGCCTGGCCGCCGTGCTCCTCGACCTCCTGGTTCCTCCTCTGCAGCAGCGTGGCGAAGCGGTTGCGTGGTCGTGTCTGAGCGCTGGACGAAGACCGGTCTGGCTGCTGATCCGGCCGGGATCGCTTCAGCTCTGAAGTGGAATACTGCTGAAGAACTTCCTGATCCGATAAACAAGAGTCTGCAGAAACACACAGACGAGTTCTGATTGGCCAGAGACTTTTCACATAGATGACATCCGTTTAGTTTATTTGGTGTAGTTTTTAGATCATTCGTGTTTTTATCAGACCAGAGCACATCCATCACTCTGTCCTCGTCTCGGATATCAGAAACGTGTCTGTCCAGAGCTGAAGGACATCTGCTTACATAAATAACTGATTCAGAGCGAAGAGGAGAAAAGTCTATTTAAGGACCGTAAACAAATGATCTCATAATCAGCTTTTATCTTTTCTACATTTAAAAAACTGAACCGAGAGTTTTCATTTCACCCAGGCTGCTTTATTAAATCAGACCTCCGATCCTGCTGGGTCCAGGTGTGTGTCTGTGCAACAGAACCAGCAGTTCACCTTCTCTGGGCCTCTTGGCCTGCAGCTTCAGCCTGTCCAGGCTGATGACTCTCTCCTGCCTCCTGGTGGAGGGAGGCTGCTGAGCAGGGTGGAGAGGAGCAGCAGAGGCAAGCGTAAATCTCCTGCTCCAGATGCTGGTCCCGGCTGAAGCCGGTGGCTGGTTCCAGCTGTTACTGCGAGCTTTACACAGCTGGAGAGATGTTTGCTCATTAGTGACGTTTATTTCCTGTTGGATGTGGCAGACTTGCTGTGATGCAATACCTGTGGGGTTGGTTCGTCTGGGTTGAAGTCATCTATCCTCTCCATGGTGTTGATGTCGAGGTTTCCCAAGGCCAAATCCAAACCTCGGTCATCATCTAGATTTCTAAACGTGTCACCATCAAGGAGGGAATGCTGCAGGCGCAGTGAGACAAGAACCTCTGAAAGAGAGGGAGGAGTGAGGGAGAAGGATACAGGCCGGCGTAGCTGAGGGTGGACGGGTCCAGGTGCTTTGGGTACGGGTTCAGGGGCACCACCTTTCTGCTGACAGGATCAAACACCAGCTGGTACAGGAAGGTGTTGTTGGCTTTAACAAACCCCTCCATGTACTCGTCAGGGATGACCAGATTCATTTTCAGGTACTGACCCATCTTCCTGATCACCTGACAGGAAGAGAACTCCCAGTAAACAACAGACTCTGTTCATTAGAGCGATAAATGGCTCAGATTGTTTGTTTCTGCTTCTGGTCTGAAATAGCAGCAAAAACACTATTTGATGCTTGTGGCTGTAGAAAGGGTCAGCAGCCCTTATTACGCTCTCTCTAGACCCAGGAAGTCTGTTAAAACATAGGAAAGGACTGATGAGGGGCCACACTGCCCCTAGAGGCTGACTGTGGTATAACCTACCCACTAGAAGTAAAACATGATTCTCACCCAAAAATAAAACATTAAAGCTTCAGAGTCTCGAGAAAAAGCTGCGAGACGTCAGAGCAACAGGATGAAGACCTGAACGCTCAGGAGTCAAACGGCCGCTGACCTTCAGGATGTCGGGGTCTCTGGCGAGCCGCAGCAGCTTGCAGGCCTTCCCCAGGCCGATGCCGTGCAGCGAGGGCAGGTAGTCGCAGCCAGACAAGATGCACATGTGGCGAAACTTCTCCTCCGTGAAAACGTTGCCCAGGGAGCGGCAGCGGCCCAGGTTACTCTGGTCGATCTCCAGGCCGTTACCATGCTTGTCCATTTTCAGAATCACCTGCAAAAACAGAAAACACTGAGTCCTCCACTTCTTCTGTCAAATTGGTCCCCCCCCACCCCCAACCAGGATCCTACATTCATTTATTGCGGACGCGCGCGCGCACACACGCACACGCACTCACACACATGTCAGACTTTACCGGATCAGAACAGAATAAAAAGGGTCTGACCTCGAGGAAAAACCAAGGCGCTCTGAGTTTTTATTTATGGGCTAATGGAAGCTCAGCTGGTGTGTGAAAGTCCAGCAGCTTCTAGAACCTCCTTTATGCAGTCGTCCCCAACAGCCCTCACTACGTCTCACTCACGCACGCACACACACACACACGCACACACGCACACACTGAACTTGAGGTTAGATTAATTATCATTGAACCAGATTAAATTCAGATTATATGTAAAATCCCAGAACACAGAGACTTTTGTATGACTGTAAGCTTGAGTGACAGAAACACATTAGACAACTTCCTGTGACACTTATTCAAAAACAAATACCAGAAAAGCTCAGGTCTGTAAAATTAAAATGTGTTTAGCTGTTGAACACGTGCAGCATGTGTCAGATACCGTTTTGCAGCCAAACGCCAGCAGATCCGAGTCCTCGGTGATGACCGCCTGAGCCAAACCGCACTTGTTGAGGTAAGCCAGCTGAGCGTCAGCCTCATAAGGAGCCACCACACAGTCCACCCCTCGGGTCCTGGCAGCCTGACACACACACACGCACACACACACACACACACAGGAGGAGGAGGGGGGGGGGGAGAAACACACATACACACACAAACATACATACAGAGAGAGAGAGAGAGACACACACACACTTATACAGGAGGAGAGAGAGAGACACACACTTATACAGGAGGGGAGAGAGAGAGACACACACACACTTATACAGGAGGGGAGAGAGGAGAGAGAGAGAGAGAGAGAGAGAGACAGAGAGAGAAAAACACACACACACACACACCAGATGAATGTGCTGTTGCTGATTCGGTTCTTTGCCTCATCGCCTGGCGGCTGCGACTTGACCCTCACCTTAATGAGGTTGTGAGCCATGGCGGGCGTGATGTTAACACAGCGGCTGAAACAGTCTCTCGCCTCGGACGGCTTACCCTCACGAAGCAGCTGTTTGCCGCGTTGGAGGTTAGCTTCTCTGCGTCTGGAAAGAAGCTGAAGTTATTGCGAGTTCCTTCCTCTGAAGGGATTTCTAGAGAAGGACATCTCAGTTACAGACGAGGGGAGTAAGGCGTGGGCCGTCACGGCTGCAGCGGAGGCCTGCTGGTATGTTTGAGGTGGACTTCTGCAGGTCTGAACATTCCTTCCTGCGCTGTCACACATAACAATGTAGCTCTGTTGCTGCTGTGGAACGCAGCGCTTAGAACAAACAAGTCAACGT